TATTTATTAAGTAATATTTGGATCAGATTTTAAAGAAGCTATAATTTATATATTATATGTTGTATTAACTTTCATAATATAAAGGTTAAATTTAAAATTAAAATTAAGTTCCTTAAACATATTATATGGAATTAATATTTAATAATTCAGTTAAATTGTCATTTTATTTTATTTATATTTAATATACATCTGCTTATTGATAAGATATTTTTCCATCGTTTTCGCATTATAAGAGATTAAAATAAACATTTACTTTAACTAAATTACTTCTATAAATTTAGATTGGATTTGTTTTTACTCTTATGTCTATCGATGTGTCCTACAAGAAGTTTATATTATTGTATTTGCAGTTGCTGCTTAGTTAAACTAGGAAACTACATCAACTTAGAATTAGTATTATCCTTATTTTTTCAATTATAAAGGCTGTATTTATAAAAAGTATTAGTTATTTTGTTATTAAATTTACATATTTATTAAATTTATTTCATTTACCGTATTTACATTAGAAGAAATGAGAGACCAAGTAATTTATTTTAATTATTTATTACCACAATTAGAAATACATTATATTATTATTTATGCTTATTAACATATGGAAATAGGACTTGTTTAAGTTAATTTTATAACTAGATTTGTGTCTAAACTTACTTTTCCAGTTATTTATTAAAGAAAATCAGTACAAGCAAATCCATTATTTGTTAGTTTAAATACACCAGGTTTTATTTTTATTATATCATCCTTATTAATAGTGCTTACAGTATCAAGCTTAAGTGTAAGTGTTTTTAAATATCTATCAAAAGAACATAAAATATTTCCTTACAATTTAGAAGTAATAAAATTTTAGTCCAATGTTTCTATACAAAGTTAATTTGTAAATTATAATTAAGAAGAATAACTTTAGAAATCTAAATTAGAGATATTAAGATCAATTTACAAATTAGTATAATAATAGTCAAAATCTATAATTAAATCTAAAAAATCAAAACTAAAATGCATATTAGTCATTATATTTAAGCATGAATCGCATTATTTATTTTAGTTTAATTAAAAATATTAAGGAGTTTGGCATGTAAGACATTCCGTTGAACTGCATGTAACACATCCAGCTGAAAAAGTAGAACATATAGTACAGGTTTAATTGAAAATATTAGGATCATAAGAATATTAAGGACAATCACATTATTAAGGAAGCCTATTCCCAAAACATGTATCGCAATCGGTGCATTAGAGCAGTTGCACATTTAAATAAGCAAGCTGTACATTATTTGTTTGCCGTATTTGGCCCCATTTACCTGCAGGACAGGCTATTACACATGAATTTCCATCTAAAAAATGCGGCGATAAACATGCTTAGCATGTAGTAGCATTACAAGTAGAGCATCCAATAGTTATAGTAGAGCATTCGATACAAGCTTATGTGTAATTCAAATTATCATAGCTATAAGCAGGGCATTCACAAGTAGTTCCAACCCTATTCTTAAAGCAAGTGTCACAATCAGTTGCATTAGAACAAGTTGCACATTTACTATTACAATCCTAACAAGTTCTTGTTGAAGCATCTGCATATTTTTTTTTTGGACATGAAGAAATACATTAAGAATCATTATAAAAATATCCAATTTCACATAAATCACAAGAAATTCCATCTGTACATTTTTAGCATTACGCAATACCACAATTTTAACAATTATCTATATTTAAATACTAGCCATCAAAACAAGAACTACAAGAAGTATCGTTATTACATTTAGCACATTAAGGCATACACTCAAAAGCATAAATTTCAAATTCCGTAATTCCAAACGATTTTAAAAAAGCGTCATTATTTATAAATATTTCATTAGTAATCGTAATATCAAGTAGAGTATCATTAGTTTAAAAATCGAAATCAGCTTATTAGTATTTTTCTTTTAAATGTTTTCTTGCGCATAATATTTAAAAAGTAAAAACTTTTTATAATTTTGCAGCAAGAGATCCATTTATTTTAAAATATAAAAATTCACATATCGAAATTCCAAGCATCAATCATTATATATTAAAAGCTAATTGAATATTTATATACAGGTTTATTTGATTTAACATTTAATGATATAATACAACTGTTTCCACATATTTAGAATCCTCCTAAAACAGTTTTTGGGCCACATAAATAAGTTATATTTCCTCCAACTGAAGTAGAAATTTGAAAACCACAATTAATAGCATCTTATGACGAAAAGTGTGTATCTAAACATTTTTTCAAAAGTGTTTTTTTTTAAGAATTGAAAGCTGAAAATAGATATATTATAATAAAAGTAAATTTAATATTATAGTATATTTTCATATTCAAGATTAGCTATTTATATTTCGAATTAAAATAATAATAAAAAAAAAAATATTTTTTATTTAATAAATAATATATATAAAAAAAATAATTAATGTTTAAATAATAAAATTAAAGAAATATAAATTTAATAATATTTTATATTAAATAATTTTAAAAAATTCTTAAATATAAAAAAAAATTATATTTTTAAATTAAAATTAAAAGGAAAAACTAATAAAATATAATTATTTTTAATATAAAAATATAAAAAAAAAAAAACCAAATAAATAAATAGTAAAAAAAAAGTTATTAATAATATAAATATTATATAAAAATTTAATAAAAAAAAATAAAAATTAATCTTTAAAAAAAAAACTAATTATATAAGAAATTATTTTGTAAAAAATTATTTTTATGAATATATAATAAATGAAATAATAATATTTATTATAAAAAGTTTTAAATATATAAAAATTTAAATTTTTTAAGAATAAATAAATTATTAATATATATTTCATTTATATATATTTTTAAATATAACTTTTATTTTAATTATTAAAAAAAATTTTTTAAAATATATATTATATTTATATCTATTATAATTTTTTATTAATAGATTTATTTAAATTTATTTTAATAATATTGTTTTATTATAAATAATTTTATAAAAAGGATATAAAAAATTTTAAAATTAAAAATAAAATAATAAAACAAAAAATAATTAAAAAAAAAAAAAAAATTTAAATAAAGTGTATGAAATAATTTTTTTAAAAAAAAAATTATCAATTTTTTTATAAAATAATAAAATAAAAAAGAAATAAATAAATATTATTTTATATATAAATATATATATTTATATTTTAATAAATAGATATTTATATATTAATATATAATTTATTATTTTTATAAATTAATTTCTTTTTAATATATATATTAATTATATTTATTTTTTTAATATTTTTAATTTTATATATAATTATTTTTAATGCATTTAATTATTATTTATCTTTATCTTATATTTATCTATATTTATTTTATATTTTTTTTCTTTATATATTTCTAAAATATTTTTTTTTAATATTTTTTATTATATTTTATATATTATTATTTTTATTTAGATATATTGTAACTATTATATTTTATTTTTATTATTAATTTTTTTTTTAATTTTAATCGTTATCTATAATTTTTTATTAATTTTTAAAAATAATATATATATAATTATTTATCTTTCTTTTTTTTTTATTTTATTTTATTTTTATATAATTTAATTATTTTGAATTTAATTTAAATATATTTTTTTTTTTATACATACATTATTATAAGAAAAATTTGTATAATTATTTATAATTTATTTTTACTTTCTATTTAAATTAAAATCTCATATTACTTACTTTTTGACTTATTTACAAAAAAAGACTCTAAAGTTATTTCTTATAATTATTTTTAAAAGAATATTATTGTTTATTTCCATTTTTATTTAATAATATTTTAAAATTATTCTAAAAATAGTTACTTTTTTCGATATTTAAGTTTGTAATTCTAAGAATTTTTTTATCATTATCTATTAGTTTATATTCAAGTCATATCATATTAATTTGTTTAGAATTTTTTTAAAATGTTACGTTATTTTGTTTATCTAAAGCAAATTTTGACTTATTTCCAAAAATAATATTTTCCACTTCATCACTAAGTATACTAATTATTTATCTTAATTTTTTTTAAGTAATTTATATTTTTACTTAACAAATTTATTTTATTGTTATTGCATGGTAACTTTTTTATATTTTTATTGTCTGATTTTATTAATAATTTTATTAAATAAAAAAACTTGCAATTAAATATTTTTAAAAGTCCAAAAAAACAAAATGCTTTTGTATATTTATTTCTCTATTGTCAAAAAATATGATCCTTCTAATTAAAACATGAAATACTTTTTTTTATCATTTAGCTTAATATAAAAAGCATTTGTGCGCCTTCATCTTTTCGTATTAAATATTCGAATTTTCGGGTTTTCCCTTATTTATTTTAATTTTTTTATCATTTTTTTATAATTAATTTCTTCAAGAATAAAAAATATAAAATCATTTCTTGAAACAATAAATTATAAATTTAATTTCTTCTACTAATTTTTCAAGTTTTTTTTAATCTATTATCATATATTTCATTATTTTATTATGTATTTGATAATATTAATGCTTATATTTTTTAAACTCTTATGTTTTTCTTTTTAAATGCATTATCCTCGGATATTTAAAAATTATTTTTGTCAATAAATATTTTCTCTATATGTTTAAGATAATTCTTATCATAATTATAATAGCTTAATTATTCATATGTTTAATATAAAGTTCTTTATATATTACAAATTTATATTGTTAATAATTAATGTTTTATCTTTAATTATATGAAATTACTTTTTCGAAAATTATTCAAATAAATAATCAATAAATTTATATCTAAGTAAAAAAACTTATGTATGATTTATTTATTAAAATTTTATTAAATCAAACTTATGGATAAATAAAAATTAATAATATTGAATATTATATTATTAAACATATCCTTAATAATAAATATTTTTAAAAAAGTAATTTACAATTTATTAAATGTTTGATTGATATTTAATAATATAAAAATTTTTATTTTTATAAAAGCTTAAAAATTTAATAAATATATGTTAAATGTAAAATTGAAAATATACACATACTTTATTTATATTATTTTTATAAGAATTTGTAATATTTATAATTTATATTTAAAAGTAAATATACTATATATTTAATATTTTAAATAAAATATATATAAAAAAGAAAAACTAATATTTTAAAGGAAAAAATTTATTAAAATTAATAAAATGAAAATGCTAAATTTTAAAATACTTTGATTATGAAAAAAAAAAAATTATATTAAATATTATAATATAATTTTATTATTTAATTAATATTATTTTAGAGTAGATTGAAATATATTTTCTTTTGTAAAAATCATATTTCTTTGATTCCTTATTATCCTTACTGTTATTATTATTCTTAACATTACAAATAATAATTAGTTAAAAAATTATTATTTTAATTACTTTATAATGTATAATCAAGTAAATTATAACTATTTAAACCAACTATTAAGTTAAAATAAAGAATCGTTTTCATCTTATAAAGTTTGCTATTTATTTAATTATTCTTCTATAGTTTATTGAAATAATTATGTTTATAATTAATTTTTTTGTTATTTATTAGTTTAAATTTTTTATTATGTTTAAAAAAATATTGTTAACTAATTTTTCTATGAATTTATATTTTAAAATAAATTTAATTATTATTAATACTTTTAATATATTTAATTTGATTTATTGTATTTATAAAAATTAGTTAAATTATAATAAATCAAAAAATTTTAATTTTATTAAATTTAGTTAATATTTTACTATGCTATAAAAAAAAATTATTGAATGATTCAATTATTATACATATAATTTTTAACATTTTGGATGATAAATTATTATTTTAAATAGCAGAAAGTTAATCTTAAAAAGTTTATTAATTTAAAAAAATATTGTTAGTTTTTATGCCTTTTCTATTAATTACTTAAGTAAGTGTCTTGTTTTATGTTAAATATTCTACTTATTGGCCTATTCAATATTTTAATTAAAATTATGAATGATATAGCTTCTAATGAATATTTTATATTTCATTAAGTTAATTATTGCAAGCAAGTTAAACAATTTGCATTTAAATTCTTTATTATAAAATATATATGTTCATATTTTTTTCTATTTCAATTTACCACTATAGTTTCCTAGATTTTCATAAAAATTCTAAACATAAATTATAAATTATCCATTCTAATATTTATATTTAATTTAAGCTTAAAAAAACATTTTTATTAATAAATTTCTTCATCTTTGATATTTTACTATTTTAATTCTTTCTTCCTAAGTTTCATTCCCATATTCAAACTATTCTATAGTTTTTTAAATTTATATTTCGCATATTTTAAGTACACAAAGACTCTTTTTATACAATATCAATCAAAATATCTATATTAGTAAACTTCATATAATTTTTTAAAAATATTTTTATCACATCATTTAAACTAACAATTTCATATTCTATAATATTCGAGCGAAATCTTTTTAAATATCTTCTGGATAAACCATAGAATTATTTCTTCCCGTTTAATCAACTTTAAATCCTTCTCTTTTAGTAATTACAACATTAATTATAGTATAATATTGTATAGTATTATTTTTCAAGTTTTCATAAAAAAGTTTTGTATAATCATCATTTATCATTTCCTTAATAAAAATATTTCATTACCGTACCTCATACAATAATAGTGTCTCCCTTTATATATTTTGAACATAAACCTAAAGCAGATTTTAAGTTTATATGCTGTTTTCTATAATTATTCAAAAGAATAAAAGTAAGATTAATCACATATTTGTTAAAAAAAGAAAGCAATATTATTGGATTGATATTTAATAAAAAAAATTCAAATAATTTGTTAGACCTGAAACAAATTTTAATGAAGGAAATACATAATATTATTATACAATTAATATGTAATTTAAAAATTATTTAACTATGTTTACTAATTAATATATTTATACTTTTTTGTTTAAAAATCTATTTTTAATTATAATTATTTAAATTAATAAAGATTTATTTATATAAATATTTCTTTATGTATATAATCATATTGAGGAAAAAATTTTATATAATTCTAAAACAATAATTAAAATATTATTTCATTTATAATATTTAAATATAAAATATATTATTTTTATACTTTTTAATTATAATTTTATTTAATTTATTATTAAATATATATTTTATTTTATTAAAAAATAAAAATTGAATTTAATTTTTATTTATAATAAAAAATATGATAATATTTAATATTTATTTTGTTGTTATTTTCAACGATTAATAATAATTAAAATATAAAATTATTAATTAAAATAATAAAAAATTATATAAATCAAATAAAAATGCAAGAAATAGATTTATAATTAAAAGAAAAAAAGTAGATATAAATAGATTTTAAATCTTAATAATATGAAAATTAATATTAATCAAAATTAAAAAGTATTTTCAAGACTGATTCTGATTTAATAGCAAATTTATATTAAAATCCTCTTGAAGAATTATTTAATGCAAATAATAAGAATCTCCAATTAGAATAAAATAAAATTATGTAAATAAATGGAGATTCAAATTTTCAAAACATAAATTAAATGCAGGGATAATACAATGCAATCAAAGCGAATATTGAATAAAAAGATAAAGAAAATATTGGTTTAAAATAAAAATTTTAAGCATTTTTAAATTAGAATTATTAAATTTAGTAATATAATTAGAAATTATTGGAAGATATAAATTTAATAAAAAAAATTAGTGATTAATAAAATGAATAAATAAAAATTTAAATATAAGAAAATAATTAGCTTTAATTGTAATTGGAAAATTCTAATAATAAACTATTATAAAAAACAGTCGAAGTTTAATAACTTGAATCACTTTTAAAAGAAAAACAAGAATTATTGGATAATATATAATAATAAAACTCAAAAGAAATAAAATCCTTAATATAAACTCTTAAAAATGTAAATATATCGATTTTACTTTTTATTTATAAAAAATAAATAGGAGTTCAGCATGAAAATATAAAACTAAATTAATAATTAAATAAATAATTTAATTGAAGAGAATAAGAATTTGCAAGAATAATTATAATTTTTTTAACATGATACTAATAATAGCTTACAATAAAATGAAAAAATAAATGAAGTTAAATAAAACAATTTAAATTTAGGTGATAAATATAAAATAATAAAAGAAAAATATAAAGTATTAAAAATAAAATATAATACACTATAAAAAGAATTGAGCCAAATAACAAACTAATTTTAGTAATGCACTAAAATGATTGAATTTTTATCTAAATAATAACAAAATTAAACTTTAGAATTTGATTAATAATCTTTTAATTTTTCTAGTAGATATTAAGAAAATAAATAATTTTAAGACACTTTAGAATACTATGATATTTATGGTTAAAAGTTAAAAAATGGAATTATTGTTGATATAAATAATTTTGATTTGAAAAATTCAAAATAATTAAATAAAAGTAACGAAGCTTTAGAATAAGCAAATACATTTAAAAAAAGTAAATTTGAAATTGAACATAAAGGAAAAAATTAACTTGATTTCGATGTTATTGAAACTATTAGATTGGATACAGATGCAGCTTAAATACTTCAAGAGTTTAAAAAATTAGATGATTAAATAGAAAGAGAGCATTTAAATTAAATTTATAATCAAATTAATAAATATGATAATAATTTATCTACTTATAATGATTTAAGTTTTTAGAGTGGATAATAATAATCTAATAGTCCATTTAGAAAAATTAAGTTAGGATCTTACGAAGTCTTTAATAATTGTTAGAAAAGTTAAAATTAAAATGAAAAGAAATAAATCAATAATAAAATTATTTAATTTAATTAAATTCAAAAAAAATAAAAATAATGAAAAATTTTTTAGAAAATTTTTTATAAAAAGTTATATAATATTTATTTATACAAAATATAAATATTTGATTTATACATTTTTAAAGTCATAATTAAAACATAATATTTTATAAAATTATTATATATGTTATTTTAAAAATTTAATACATAGAGTCATATGATTATTATTTTTAATTTTCAAAATAAATAATTCAAAAAATCAAACATAAGTATCTTTTTTCTTGCTGTATTTTCAGCAAGCCATTCAATTAAATTTTAATCATAAAAAGGTCCATAAATATGTTAATGAGAAAGTTTTAAAACTGCTTCATTTAATGAGTATTATTTATAAATTTCGATTATTCTTGTATCATTATTATCCAGATCTGCTTCACTTTATTTTAAAGGAATTTCTGGATCAATTCTCAAATATTATCCTTCTGCGCTTTTTTCAACATCTTTATCTAAATATGCAAGAGCTCCATTACCTAAGCTTTACATAATAGGAACTAAATTAAAAAGACCTGCATTTTATGATATTTAGCTACCAGCAATAGGTTAGCCAGTACCCAAAGAAAGTAAAAAGAATTTCTTCTCATCTCCACTATTCATAGCTTCTGTTTTAATATCGTCTAGAACTAATTTTGAGGGATTATTTTATCCCAAAGCACCATCTATTAATGAATATTTTTTAGTTCCATTAATATTTTTGATTTCTGCCGAAGGAAAATAAGTTGGAGCTGCAGAAGTAGCTCTAGCAACATCTTTCATGAAGAAATTTTTATTAGGATTAAAAACAGCTTCTTTTGATCTAAAAATTTTAGCCATATTTTTACCTATTTATATTTACATTATTTTTTAGATTATTTTTCGTATAAAAAAAACCTTAAATATTCTCTCTTTTAACAGCTGTACATATAACATTTGTACCTTTAACAATATCAGATAATTTACAATTTTAGAAATTTTTTTTTAAAATCGATTCTATTCCAACTGGATCATATTTACTTTTATCTCTCAAATTATTCCAAATCGCAACTATTTTAGATTTATTGAATATCTAATTGCCATGGTCTTCAAAAAACTATACTAAATCTACTCCTCTGGAAACTGGATTTTTTCCATCAAGTGTGCCTTTTTTTAATTTTTTTAATTTTTTGTTTTTTTTTTTTGCTTTACCTGTTACTCCTAAAGCTAAAATACCTCCTATTGAAGTGCCTCCTACGACATCGAAAATTTCATGAACTTCTCGTTTTAAATCTAAACATATTTTAAAGATATATAAATAAATAAATATATACTTTTGCAAATATAAGTAATAATTTAGGCAGGTATTATTCCTCTAATACCTCCTCCATCTATACTTAAGCCAACCCTATAAAAATCACATTATGATTATTTTTAGCCTTTACTATCTGTTGATAATTTAGAAGAATTAAAATATTAAATTTATTCAGCTGAAATTTTATTTGCAATATTAGGAATTGCTTTCTAGATTTTTTATGAATTATTAATTTATAACTTTTCTTTTATTTTTTTTTAGGCTGCTTTAAATTCTTCTAACTGGCTTTCTTATATTTAATTAATTCCTTATATTTCTAATAACTAAAAAATTTGTAAATAAATAAACACATAAAATATAATAATACTTATAGAATATTATTTGATTAAATTAATTCTGCAAAATTGGATAAACCTTTAAGTCCAAAAGATACATCATCGTTAATAATCAATTTTCTTAGTGATTAATTTTTTTATAAAGCTTTACCTATATAAATAAGTCCTTCATTTCCAATATGATTTCCACTAATATCTAAAGTTTAAATAGTGTGAGAAAACTCAATAATAGATGCCAAATTATAAATATTCTCCTAAACATTTTCTTAGAAATAAACTTTTTTAATGATTAATTCTTTAATACAGTTTGATTATTTAATACATTAGATAATGCTTTTTATGCATTCAGAATTCAACTTATTATAACTAATATCAATCGAGTAAATTTATTCTTCATTTTATATCAAAGAACAAATATGAGTGATTTCATACTCTCCTAAATTACATTATTATAAGCTTATTTTTTTCACAAAACGGGCTTTTACAATTGATGAAAAACAATTTCCATTGATCAGATTTCCATCTAATATAAGAGTATTAATTGTGTTATTATCATAAATATTAGTAGTTAAAATTTTTAAAGCTTCATGGTCAAAATTATTATCGCTTAAATCAAGAAGTTTTAATGTTTCATTTTTACTTATGCTCGTACTTAAACGGCATATTAAATTATTATCTAATTTGCAATTTCTTAAAAAAAGTTGGTTTAATTTTCCTGTTTAGTCAATATTTTCCATAATTCTGCATATTTCTTCTAATTACTCTTTTCCTAATTTGTTTTTGCTGAAATCTATCCTTGATATCATTTTATTTGATATTACTCCCTTTTTTTATTATGTTATTTATTTTTATATGTTTATTTGTAAAAATAATACATTGCAAAAATATTTAATTCCTTCGCTTGAAACAGATTATTATGTTGATTGAATATATATAGAAAGTCCTTAAGAAGAATTTATTTTTAAATTGGCAATAATTTCACCTAAATATTTCATATGGACATCATTTAACTTAATATCAGATAAATCAATACTTTCAATATCAGTTATGGTTTCTTATTATTTTTATGACAATAAATCTTCTTAAAATTTATCTGAAAATGCTTATAATAATTACATAAGATTACTGTCTTTAAATTCTTCCAATATATCAATAAATGTTAATTCTCTAATATAAGAATTTTTTAAAAGAAGATTAATTAAACTAATTCTACAACTTTTAATTAATACATCATAAGTAATTGCTTATTTTTTTTAAAAACCAAAAAAGCTACTAAATTATTATTCTTTTGTTTATTAAATATTTATTTGTTTTTCTTATCCTTTTCTACTTAATGCATAAACCAAAGGATTTATATCTTATAATATTTTTACCTTTTTTTTTAAAAAAAAAGAATTATAGAAATATATATATTTATTTTTTTTAAAAAAAAAACATTGGAAAAAATTCTTCCAAAAATATTCAAAACGAATGTTCTATAAGCTATAATTTTAGGATTTTTATTAATTTACATATTGTTAAGAATTTGTTTAAACTATCCATTTGCACATGAATCATCAACAAGACAATTAATACCTTCAATAATAAAAAGAACAGCATGTTCATAAAGCAGTTATGTGCAATTTTTCACTGAAAGCCGTTTCAAATTAGGAGTATTACACATTAAATACTATAAATTTGCACAGCCGTCAATATTAAAATTTTAAAGATGTTAACCTTCAATATCAATAATAGAAATATTAATGCAATCGTTCAAAAGAAGAGTTTTTAATTAAGGAAAAATCAATGGTTTACTTCTATAGTACTTAATATTATTTGTATAATTAATTTTTTATAAAGAAATATTTTTAGAAAAATCCAAGAAAGTCAAAAGAGGCATATTTTCGGAAAATTTAAGAATATCTAAATCTGTAATTTTTTAACAATTAGAAAGTTAAAGTGTTGTAATTTATTAAAATTCGATATTTTTGAGAATTTTGTAAGATATTCCTTCACAATTATTGATAATTAAATATTGGAGGAGTTCTTTATTTTCTTAAAGTAATTTTTATTAAAAAATTTATAAATTTTAAATGAATTTTTCCACATTATTATTTAATGAATTTTCGTTCCAGTTTTAGTTTGCGAATTCCATTACTACTTTTATTTATTTATTTTTTTTAATAAATAAAAACATATCATCCCATTGTTAATTTTATTTCTTATTTAGTCTAGATATTTATTTTATTTTCTTTTTACATAATTAAGGGCCTATACAGTTATAAAGAGAAACTGCTTGATCAAAAAAAGTGTTTTTGTGCATTTTTTCTATTGCAAAATGACTAATAAAAGACGGATAATCTAACATTACAAATGAATTTAGTTTATCCAAATTATTTAAAACTAAAGAAAATCTACTTTTAATGTTTAAATTTTTTAAAGAATTTACTTGTTTATAAATATTTGCAAGGAGAGGATTTACTTATTCAAAAATATCCTAATATTTGGGTAAAGTGAGATCTGGATTCTCCCTAAAAGAATTAAGAAAAGAAATCATTTTTTAAAATCTTAAAAATAGAGATTTAATGGAAGATTTTTCAAAAAAAATTCCATTACAATTTGAATTATTATATTATTCTTATATAAAAATTTAAAAATGTATTTTTTCTTCTAAAAAAAAAGTTTGGTTTTTCTTTTTTTCATATTAAAGTTGATAATCATTTAATTAATTTAACCAAAAATCCATTATTTTTTCGACATCCATATTTTGGAATTTCTTCAAAACATTTAAATCAATTATATCGTACATTTAATCAGTACAATAAATTATATTTTTTATATTCAGCTGATATTCTTAGTTATTTTATTTTATTATTTCCTGTACAAATGCTTATGAATTACTTATGTTCATCAATAATTACTCATTTGGCTTTTCGATATATAGTATTTCGTCATATGGGCATGCTTATTGTAGATTTAAGAGCATATTTGTTAATATACGCTCGCCTATATGTTCTTTATCTAAAATTAAAGGGACATTTTAATCTAAATAATCTATTAAAAGTATAGAATTTGGAATTATTTGAGTTATTTTATAAAATATGTCATTTATTCTAATGAAAATTTGTTTAGGACTGAATTTTTAGTTAAAAAATTATATGAAAGTTTCTTATAAATATTAACATCCTGGGAAATACGGATTTTCTTCAACTAAAAATTGTTGTTTTAGGTAATAAACAATTAGTATTTTTCGCACTTTCTATTATATATTTTGGTTTAATTAATTAATGTAACTTTAAACGAAATAGTTTTTCTCATTTAAGTATGATTATTGTTTAAATTCAAATATGTAATTATTTTTTGTTAAATCTATTAATTCATTATATATTTCTTTCTAATTTATTTTTATTGTTTCATTATTTTTTTCTTCCTCTTTTTTTTCTAATTCATCTTTGTTTATCTTTAATTCATATTCTTTTTCTTCTGATTCTTACACTTTTTCTTCGTTTTTTGAAATTTGTTTTTTTTTCTATTTTGTTTCTAAGTATTCTTATTCATTTTATTCATTATCACTAGAAATATTATCTTCTTAGTTTTAAAAATATTGACTATTGTTTTTATCCAAATCAATTTTATATGAAAATATTTAACTCCAAACTTCAAAAGGGAAATATCTGATTCCATATTAGTAAGAATTCAATTAAATAACGCTTTTTTTATTTTCAAAGTTTATAGGATTAAATTCTTATCTCCATAGTTTTTCCCATTAATATTCATGTAGTAATTAAGTATGATTTTTTTATAAGAAAATTTCAAGTTTTTCGCCAAATTTAATTTACTGAGCTGATTTAGGATTTTTAGGACAATTAAGAAATTCAAAAAGTTAATCTTTATGTATATATAATCCTTCATTATTATCTAAAAGAATATTCGCTAGTTTAAACTTTTTATACATTATAGACTTCTCAAGAAGGGTTTTATATTGTAAATTGAAGCCTTTATCTCCTTTAATTTATGGAAATTTAATATAATTTTTAAACAAAAGAATTTAATGTTTATCATTTTCGTCAATATTCTATATAGAATTAAATGTTTAGTTTTCAAGAATTTAAAAGATATTAACATTAAATATCAAAGCTACAAATTCGATAAAAATATTACTATTCTTTCTTTATAATAAGTATTTCTTATCGAAATTGCTTGCTTTTTCATTTTAATCTTCTTCTTAAATATACTAAAATGTATTTTTTGGTTCATCATTATTAAAATTTTTATTGATTTAAACAGGAGACCTTTCGATATATTAGTTGAAGTTGTTTTCAGAATTTAAAGAAACAGACGAATTTTTTTATTCATTAAATTTAAATATTTCCATCCATACATATTAGTTAGTCCAAGATTTGTTAAACTTTCCTATATTTTCTACTGTTTATTAATTGTAATTTCCTTAAAAAGGCAAAAAAAGGAAATTATTTGCTACTATATTTAGTATACTTTTGACTTCTATTTTTCTAAAATTCAACAAATTTAATTCTTATAAAAATTAAAAAAGCTAAAACTATTAAAAATATACTCCATCATCCTTTAGAAAAAGTTTTATATCCTCAAACATTTTGGAACAAAAAATATACTTTTAAACTAATTTGTAAGAACAAATTTTAATAAGATAATCTTCAACTGAAATTTTTTTCATAAACTCAGTAAACTCAACAACATTTTTAGAAGTAATTCTATTAATAAACTCAAATAAAAATGGTTAAATTTTATTCATTACCTAACCCAAACAAATGCTTTGTCTTACAGGAAAAACACTTTCCTCAAGCCATAATTATGTATTTTGAAAGTTTTCTACCATACAAATTATTTAAGAAATATATTCTTTTGGTAAAAAAAGACTTTTTACTTTTTTTCCTTTTTTAAATTCGCATTTAAAATCGCTTTATTAATACTAAAAAAGTAATGAAATACCCTCAAAAAAATTCTTAATATTACATTTTTGTAAATTATTGTTATTTAGGTAACTATCTTTATCCAAATCTACCAAAAGTAACTCTTTATAATAAAAAAGAGGGTTTTTAATTCCTGCGTGTTAACTTTTGTCCTCATTACTTGTATTTCCTTAATGTCTGTATATAACTCCGCTTTCTGTATCCATACTATAATTACAAATAAAGCTCTCATATCCTAAAGAAAGAAAAGAACTTAAAATTTAATTGAAATAGCTACTAAATTAAATCTCTTTTTCCCCACAAAAAAGTTTATTTTCTTTAACTAAAGTTCCTTCATATACTAAATCTTTCATGTTATTTTTTATTTGTTAAATAAAATAGAATGTTTTTTTCTTTTTTTCATCTTTTGTACAGACAACAAGTCCTGGAAGTATTTCTGAATTCATCAATTTTTTATTTAAAATATAAATAATGAAGTATCTTTAAAACGCAAGTACATATTCAGTACCTATACGTTATATTTTTAATTTATTATTTGAATTTATTTCACTAAAAAATTATTGATTTTTATTTTCTTGTATTATGTAATAACCTATATATGGTGCTTATATTTGCATGTATTTTGTATTTGCCATATTTTATATATCTTATATTATATTTTGAGTACGTTATGTGTAAAAATATTGTAAATTTTTTAGAATTTTCAAAATCTATAAAGGTAATGTGTCATTAAAATTTTTAAGAATTTATTGTATTTTTTTTATTAAATTCTAATATTAATTTTAAATATGGCCATTTATTAAATCCTCCTTTTAAAATTATAAAATAGCCTTTTTTATACATATATGTGGGTACTGTATTAGTCCTAAAAGTGTTTGCAATTCTTCACAAGCAGCAAGTAGTAAAAAATCTATTTGTGATTTAGTTTACCTTTCTAATAAAGGCGATTAATTATTTTCGGAATAAAATTTTTATGAACTTGCTGATTATTATGTTGTGTTTGTAGAAAGGATTTTCAATAAGCTATATTTGCTTTTAATATATTCTAAAAATTGTTTGAACTGTTTTTTAGAATATTTTATTGTATCTTAATCTAAATTTTAACTTTAAAAATTACTTAAAAAATCACTTTTTAATTCTTGTAATTCATTTTACATTTTTATTTTATATTAAATGCTGATTTTTTATATATATATATATATATTTTTTTAAATAAAATTGAAAAAAAAAAGATTTCTAGATTTTTTTAAATTAAAAAGTTATTATTTTTACATTAAAAAAAATATATATAATAAGAAAATGAATTAAATATTACATTTTTTAAATATATATATATATATATGCTTTCATCCTTTAATTTTTTATTTTGAAATATAGAAAGAAACATATTTTATTTTATTTTCAATTGAATTTTAATTTTAATTTTTTTACTTAATTTTTTTATTTATATTAAACATTAAACTTTTGTTATAAGATATATTTAATTTTATTAAATATTTTTTTATAAATAATAATTAATATTCTTATTTTTATTCTAAAATTAATCAATTTTTTATGTATAAATGAATGTTTGATAATAATATGCTTTTATATTAGCTATTTACTTAAATTTAGATTTTTATCTTCAAAAATTTTTATTATTTATTAATTTTTAAACTTTTTAGATTTATAAATTTTTATTGTTTAAATTAATTAAAATTATATTAATATTTTTTAGTGAAATTATTAATTTTATCAGTTCTTATTGATTATTAATTTAAAATTTATTCATTAACTTAATTTAGTTTTTTATTTTTAAAGATTAAAAAATAAAAATAAACTATTGAAATTAGCTACAATAATAAAAATATATGCTGATGTATAATTATATAAAATAAAATATAAATATGTATTATTTTCAATCATTTTTTATAAATAATAATTTTTTTATAAAATTTAACTAATTCTAATATATTTAAATTTATAATAATATGATTTATTAATAATCACTTTATTTTGTTAAAATAGCTTATTATTATATAAAATTCTTAATAATAAAATAAATTAATTATATCAATAAATAATTTAATTCAATTTTTTTTTATTTTTTAATTAACTGTTGAATATTTATTTTACTTGAAGACTATGATTAATAAATATTTAATCTATTCAGGTTTTAATTTTCATCTGTTTAAAATTATAATAATTGTCGTAAAAAAATCATTCCAAAAATGCCATTATATAAAAAATCCATTTTTAAAATTAAGTGATTTTTTTTTTACATAAAACAAAATAAAATTAATTTAAAAAACAAAGTCATTTGAAATAAAATATACAATTTATTCTTATTTTTTATATTCATAAAATTTTAATAATAAGAATAATTAAACTAGCCAACTGAATAATCTTAAGTATGTATATGTGATGGAACGAACATATCCATATAATAATAGAATGCTTCAATTTTTTACATTAACCATGCGAGAAAAGGAAAAATTAATATTTGTGTGAAAAACCAGTTGTACATTTCTCCTTTGAATTTTTATGATTATGGAGGTTTGTCCTTTGAATTTTTATGATAATGGAGGTATATGATAAACTTATAAACTTTATCTAAAATATGTTTTATGCTACTTATATTGAGATAAATATTGTAATTTTTAAGGCTTGGAATACAGTTGAAAAATGTAAATGATAAGAATTATTATCCTTTTTTTTTTGGGGGAGGAGGATACAAAGAATCATATTAATGGCAATAAAATATAACAAAAAAATTAATATATAATAAAAATAAAAAATAATATCAAAAGAGATGTCGTTAAAGTTGTGAATGAATTTTAAACACAATAGTATGTCTAATATAATGTTTAAAATAGAATTTTTTCTAAAGATTAATATGTAAATATTATGAAATAAAAAAATAAATTAAGGGTGTTAAAGATTTATTAAGAAAGTTAAATTAATATATTCAATTATAAAAATAAATATAAAATATTTAATATTTATTAATATATACTATTTTATATAATAATACTAATAAATAAATTATTCTTGATATTACACGTTTTAAAAAAAATTCTAAATAAATTATTTAAATTAATTTAAAATTGAAAAAAAATTAATATTGAAAAGGAAACAAATTAAATAATAAAGAAAAGTTAGTAATAAAGATTTTGGGAAATTATAGATTTCTACAAAATATTTTGCTTGTTTAATATAATCGCTTTATTTATTATTAATAATAAATTATTCATTATTTTTCATAATTGAATATTATTTAATTTAAAATATTTCAATAGAATAATATTTATATAAACATATTTATAAAATTATTTAGACTTCATACTTCATTAAAATTTAAATAAATGTGTTTACTAAAAAATTAATATAAAGCTATTTAAATATATTAAAATCGCAATAATAATTATTATATATATTTAAAAAATACTATTATTATTATTATTTATTTTATTTAATTAAAAAATATAATAATTAACAATTATTCTTAAATATTTATTTTTATTTATTATCGTATTTATTTTTTTAACAAATTTTAATAAAAATAAATAACATATTAATTTTAAACAATAAAAAAAAACATAAGAAATTAATTATTTGTTATATAATAACGACAAAATATTTTACATACTAATTTTTTATTTAAAATATAAAATATAATTATATGCTAAATTGATTAAAATTTTAGAAAATGAAACTATATAATTTTCGTGACACTTTTAATTATTTAAAGTGACATATAAATATTTATTTTATATATTTAATATAATATAAAATATTTAAAATTTGTATTTAATTAAGATGTTTAAAATACTTTTGTATTATATGTCTATAATATAAAATATTTTTATAACGAAAATTATAATCTTAAATAAAATTTAAAAAAATAAATTAAAATAAAATAAAATAACAAAATTTTATAAGTCATAATTTTATGTAAAATATTGATTTAACATTAAAGAGCAAAAGAGAATATTAAAAAGTTTATAAAAAATAAAAATAATAGCCTTTATTTATAAAAATTTTAAATATATTAATGAAAATATTATATAATTTTGTTTTTTTATTAAAATAAATTTAAAATATTTAAATTCACTTAGGTTTGTCACAAAAGAAATCGAAATTAAACCTAAACCTAAAATAAGATTTAAAAAAAAAGATAGTATTTAACAAATTAATTTTTTATGGTACAGGAATCATCAAAGAGAAAAAAAAATATTGTTAATATATAAAATAATTTTAATTATTCCGAAGGGTTGAAAAAACTTATTATTTCATTAAAACTACTATTTAATACAATAAAATTCTTTAAAAATTCAACAAAAAATATAAGAATATTTAGTAAATTAACAAAAGAGCAGCACATTTTGATAAACGATAAGGCTTCATTTTTTAATATTAAAAGAAAAATAACGTTTAAAAAAAAGTTTACTAATAGCTTATAATTTTTTTTTCTAAATTATTTAATTTAAATATAAAAACTATTCAACTTATTACCTATATTACAACCTTTTAATACACTAAAACGGTTATGGGATATTTTTTAACTTATAATAATAATAGGAATAATATTATTATTTAGTTTGATTATATTTTTTGAATTAAACCCTCAAAAAATTGTTTTTTATATTGATTTGGCATGGAAGATGTTTGCTGTAGATTCTTTTGTAACATTTAATACAGGATATTTTAAAAAAGGGAATTTAATCTTAAATAGAAAAAAAATAGCAATATAATATTTTTAAAATCTTTTTTTATTTGATATGCTTTCTATTTCACCTTTATTAATGTTTACATTTGATTTTTAATTTAAATATTAAAACTTATTAATTATCCTATATTTGTTCAGATTATTTAACTTATAATAGATTATAAATAAATTAACTTTTTATTTTAGCTTTTAAAAAGATTATAAAAATATCGTTGATTTAATTAAATTAATAATTACAATTATTAGTATTTGCCATTTTTTTTCTATTTTATGGCATGGTTTAGCATAATATGAAATTTAAAATTTAGGGAGAAAAGATACATGGTTGCATTAAAAATAATTAATTTATGAGAATATCTAGGTTAGGTATATTTACTCAATTTATTATTTGGCTACTACTATGATAACTGTTGGTTACGGAGATATTACTCCTTAAAATTATATTGAATGTACATTTACTATTATTACTATGTTTTTTACAGGAATTATTTATGCTTATAGCCTTAATGCTATTGGAAATATTATATCTAATATAAATAAGCAAAATCAACGTTATAGAGAAGATATGGAAGTAATTCAGAAATATATGAGATAAGGAAATGCAAGCTAAAATATTGCCACTTAAGTATCAAATTATTTAGATTACTTCTATAAAGCAATAAAATATTTTTGTATAATTTTATAAAATTTAAATTTAAATAGGAATCAAATTAAATTGATAAAATAAAGGAAGATGAAGTAATAGGAAAATTATCAAAACAATTAAAATACGATTTATTAGAAGATATAAATGGAAAGCATTTGAAGAATATTCCTTTAATATATAATATGTAATCAAGAAGTAAAATATCTTAAATAATGGAAGAGTGCTTATTTTCTCCCGGGGAAATAATATTTAAAGAAAATGAAATAGATAATTTATCATTATATTATTTAGATAAAGGATCTGTTTAAATAATAATTGAAAGTAAATCTAAATTAAGAAATGATTCAATCATATAAAAAATAAAAAAGAAATAATATTTTGGAGAGGTTTCTTTTATAACAGGGAAAGAAAGAAAATCAACTGCTTAAGCTTTAGATTTTTGTAGAGCCTTTAAAATTAATAGATTATAGTTTTTAGAAATTATTTCTAAAAATGAAAGTGATATAGAAAAGTTTTAGATGATGATAGAGGATATTTTACTTACAAATAATTATTTTAATTCTAATATATAATGTTATTAATGTAAATAAACAGATCATTTATCAATATAATGTCCAAAAACACATTTTACATTATCAAAAACACCTTTTTTCAATAAATTAAACTATACAGTTGTGCATTATGACAATATTAAATTTAAACGTCGAAAATATAGATATTAATCTTTAATTAATATCTAATACACTCATTAAGCTATTTAAGATATTATTTATTAATCTTTATATGAAGACTAAATATTTTAAATAGAATAAGCAATAAACTTATAATCTTCAAATTCTTAAGAGACAGATACTAACTAATCTTACATTACAAATATAAACTAATATTAATAAATTTCTGTATATAATGAATTAAAATAACCTTAATAAAATTCATCAAGTAATCTCGAATTAAAGCATTAAAACTAGATAATATTTAATGATGAATTATAAAATAAATTTATCGATAATTAACTCAAAATCAAGAACGAAAATTACTAAAATTTTAATAAAATGATAAGCTTAAAAGATGAAAAGATAAATTATTCAAAAAATATTAATTTCGAATTATTTGGAATCTGTAAAGAAACAAAACTTAATAAATTAAATCAAATTAATATCGGGTCTATAGACGATAGAGTCGATAGTAGTTTAAATGACTAATTTTAAGATTCTGATGATATAAAAAATATAGATTTTGATGACTCGGGATCTAAAATTACTTAAGATAAGTTTATTATTTAATAAAATAATTCATTTGCTGAACATAATAGTGGTAAAATGAAAAACATTGAAAAAAAAAATTCAGAAAATTAAAATATTAATAAATAATTTTTGTCTTAAAATAAATTTAGTTGCAATTATTCTAAAAAGAAAATAAATATTAATTAACAAAGATAATCTTAATAAATAACAAAATAATATTTCTAACCTGAAAAAGATAAATCAAACAAATTTGATTATTTAGAAAATAAATTTGCTAAATAAAGTTTCGTACCTAAAGATTTTTTTGAAACATATGTTTTTGATAAAATGCATTTTTTTAAATATTATCGGATTTCCTTTAATTATAATTTAATTATTTAATAAATTTAAGAAAATTAGATTGATTAAACTAGTTTTATTTTTGTCGAAAAATTAATGCATAGTATTTAAAGAAAAAAATAAAAAACCAAAATTCATAATAATATAAACTAGGCAATTTAAAAAAGTTATATAATATGAAATAAATAAAAATTAATAATTTATAAATATTATTTAACTATGAATTCCGAATAAAGTAAATATATATATTATAGAAAATTAAATACATTTTTTAAATAATATTTATTTTTAGTACTTTATTTATTACTATTTTTTTTTAATAATTACTAATTTCTAAATACTGTTTTGTATAATAATATTTTCATTTAATTTTTTTTATAAATAATATATTTTTAAAAATAATAATTTTTATTTAACTTTTATTATAATATTAATTTTTTGATAATTTTAATAAAATGATTTTTTTCATTTTATCTTTTAAATACTATATGTATTATATTTTTTGATATATTTGATTATTTAATAAAATAAATAAATTCTAAAAAATTATTAAGTTATATCCTGTTTTAAAATTAAAATTTATATATATTAATAGTGAGGTAAAAAATTAATTTTCGTTTATTTTAATTTTTAGAAAATATAATTCAGTTTTTATATATTTGTGTTATAAAAGGAAATTAGCAAATAGCAAATATATATATATTTAAAAATAGTTTAAAAAACTAAGATAAAGTGTAAGAAGGCTTAATTCAAATAAATAAATTATAAAAATAAGCTTATTTATATTATAGTTAATTTAAAAACAAAATAAATAAATATATGTATATTATTTATAAGATAATGAATATAATTATTAAAAATTTTAATAAATTAGAATGCATATAAAATATAAAAATAAATCAGTCTAAAGCATTATAATAAAAAAAAATTATTATATATATTTAAACAAAAATATCCATTTTTCCGTAATTAATTTTAAACCTAAAATAACTTTTAAATATTTAATTTTTTTTAAAAAAATACGAAATTTATTTTAAATTGATTTGGTTTAATTTATATTAAGTTTAAAGGCTAAGTAAAGAATATCTTTATTTAAACTTTATATAAAACTATAAAAATAAATAAATTATATTTTATAAGCAAAAATAAGAAATTAGATAAAAGTTTCTTCTCATTATAACCAAATCAGTATAAATCTGATGAAAAAAAGTTAATAAAACTAAACTAAAAAGTGACAACTATAGAAAAATTCGTAAAAAAAAATAGGATTAATCTAAAAATAAAAAAATAATAAAATATGTCTGAGACCTCAATAGTATAGAATAGTAACTCAATATGGATAAAAACCTAATACTGAAGTTTAAAATAAACTAATTCAGGGAAATATTTTTTTGATATAACACATGGTGAATCACATATATTCAAATTAAGATATAATCAAATTTAGTTTTTTATGATCTTAATTATGTATACAATTTCTGAATGAATAACTATTTTATATATAGTTTGTCACAATGTTAAGCTTTCTCGAGCCAGAAAGGCTATTAGATAAGATGGATTCAAAATAAGAGTGTACACTAAGTTCAATTAACAGTAACTAATTAAATACTTATAGACATAAATAATAATAATAATATATATTTTTTGATAACATAGATACTATAGAAGATATAAATTAAAATTCTAAATTTAATATTTCAAATATTAATGATAAAGTTATGTTTACCCTGTTAGTGATAATATGTATGAAAAAATTTATATGGTAAAAGAATAAATATACTAAATATTTAATTGTTATAACATAAATTTAATGATGATAAATTGAATAATAAGTATCTATAATTATGATAAAAAATATAATTATGGAAAATTAAAAATAAAAAAGAGAAGTAAGTAAATATATAAATATTATACTTTTCTAACCTCAATAGTAGCTATGAAATTATTAAATAGCAATACTTCAAATAATAAGTAAAAAAATTAAATTTAGGAAAACAATTATATTTCAAACTACATTAACTTATTTAATTGAGCTATTAAGATAAATTTAAAATAATATATAATTATTTTAATTAATAAAATAATTAAAAAAAATTATAAATAAAATTTAAAATTATTTATAAATTAAAAAAAAAAAAATAATATTAAATTATTAATATAAAAAGACAAAAAAAAAAAATATAATAAAAATTTTAGGTATATAAAATAATATTATTATTAATTATAAATTAAATACATATATATTTTTATTTAAATAAATATAAATATAAATTTAAATATATATATATTTATATTTATATTTTTTAATTTAATTTTTTTTTATTATATTATATATGATTTAAAAATATTATATAATTTGCTTTTTTTTAATAAATTATAATTTTAATCTTTATAAAAAGGAAAATATAAATAAAATATAAAATAAAGATTTTTTTATTATTTTATTAAAAAACTGTATTCATATTTAATTTTAATTTTATTTTTTTTTATTAAAAAACACTAATGGCGTATAATAATTACTTGAAGGTGAACACATTTACTGTTTTTATGGCGAAAGCAAATTTATAATTTATTATTAGACATAATTTTTTTATTTATGTAATTTTATTTTCTTATCCTTCGACTATTTCTATATATTTTATTTTTAAGTATTTTATATTTTTTATTAATTTCCTGTCTATTATTATGTATTAATTTAAACTAAACAATTTCCTCTGATATTTGTATCTGTAAGAAGCCTATTAAAACTATTATAATATGTATCATTTGTATCTTCATCTTTTTCTGTTTTCATTTTTAGTTTTTTTTATTATTATTATATTTATTATTATCTGTTTTTATTAAAGTTATTCATAAAATTATTATTCTAAAGTTTTATTACGGAGTTAGTTTTTAAATGTGTATTAAAGTATAATTATTATTAAGCTATTTCATTCTTCTTTTAAGCTAATTGTACATTTTTATGATCAATTAGCATATTTTCATCGTTAACTTTTAAAGATTCTCTATTTTTGTTTTAACTTTATTATTATAGAATCATTTAGTATTTATTAAGTTGCATCGATTATGTGTTCTTTTACTTTTTTAAGTATAAATTCTTAATGAAATTTTAATTCAAAATTACGTTTTTCTTAATTTTTTAAAGGATAGATTCCTAAAGATTCTGGCTGTTCTAAACATGCTGATTTTTTTGCTATTTTTTTTAATTTGTATCATAATAAAATTCTTTAAAAATTGTAGGTAAATCTTCCTGATCCTTTCCTATCTAGCAGTTAATTAATTTTTTTCGAAATTCTAATTCTCCACTTAGAAAATCCTATTCATCAAAATTAAAACCTAAAGGATTCGGACACAAAGGTGGTTTTATTTTTTACTTTATTATTTCTTCAATATTTATGCCACTTAACCATTTATGGTTGAATATTTCGTTCATACCCTCATATGTTCCTAAACGGTTTTATGGATTTTTCATTAATAAATGCGTCAATAAATCCTATAATTCATCAGATAAATAAATTTCTTCAGGAAAGTATAAATCCTCATTCAAGATACTTTAATATATTTCTTCATTATTATGACTATAAAATGGGGGTAAACCAGTAACCTTTTATTTTATTTTTTACTTTATATTTTTTTATTTTTTTAAATCTATTACTAACTCGTATAGAAGTGCACCTAAACAATAAAAATCAACAGAATAAGTATGGCCTACTTTTAAAAGCATTTCCGGTGCCATATATTCTGGTGAACCACAAAAACTATAAGCATACCCATTTTAATCCATATCAGGTTTTGAAAGTCCGAAATCACCTTTTAATGAATATATTATAATATATTCAGGCTTTAAAAATATGATAATTACCTATCCTTATGTTCCCATCAATATCTACTAAAATATTTTCAGGTTTAAGATCTCTATAGATGATATGTCTATTAAATAATTTTTTTTATAAAATATATAAAAAAAAATAGAAATACTTTTTATGTAAATAATCTATTCCTAAGCATATTTGAACAAAATAAAATCTGGCCATGTCTTCATCCATTCTTTTAATTCTTCTTAAGTGATAAAAAAGTTCACCCCCAGCACAAAATTCCATAATAAATCCTAAATAGCTTTTAGTTTCAAAAGCATATTCAAGTTGAAGCAAAAATGGATGATCAATGTCAACCATTATGTTTCTTTCATTTTAGACTATTACTTATTTATTATTTTCTATAATAAATTTTTTATCGATAAGCTTCAAAGCAAACATTTTCGCAGTATCCTTTTTTTAAACCAAATATACTCTACTAAAACCGCCTAATCCAATACATTTTATGATATTAAAGTCATCCAATTTTATTTCTTTCTTACAATTAAGGTTTTACATAGGCTTTTAATAAAAATAGGGAGAGATATTAATACATTTTTTATTAAATACACTAATTAATCTATCTCTTTATGTAAAATAATAACTTACAGCCATATTTTGGTTAGTGGAAACAAAAGTGACTAAATTTTCAAAGCTTTATAAAATTTATTATTCATTATTATTTTTTAGTATATTTTTTTCGTAAAAATATATTCTTCTCATTAAATATTTGATAAGCCATTCAATGTTTTTTTCTAGAGAAAATATTTCATAATGTAGAATTTCGTCCTTATATTTTAAATTAATTTAAACATTTCGAGGATTATCTTCAATTTTAATTTTTTATTTATAATTTTCATTAATTTGCATTTAAATTTCATCTTCGTTTTCGCTATCTGGTTCATTTAATATTTTTTCAATATTCTCGAAAGGATTGTATTATTTAATTTTTTTGTTTTCTAAATAATTATTATTTTATTCATTTTTGCTTTTTTCATCTTTGTATTATTTAATCTGGATCTATTCTGTGAGTAGTCTTTCTTTTTAATTAAAAATGTTGCTAAAATTATTAGTGTTTTTTTAGTCTGAATTTTGTCTTTTAATTTTTTATTATTTATCTGTAACAAAAAAATAATTAAAATTAATTTCTCTATTATTAATATTTTCTTAATTAGTTGTACTTGAGTTTGTTATTTAAGGCTTGGTCCTTAAATTGCCTTTATTTCCCAAATCATTCAATTTGTTATTTGAAGGAGTTGAAATTAATAAATTTATATTTTTATCAATTGATTATTATTTATTTAAGTTTTTGAATATATTCAATTATTTTTAATTTAGCGTATTACTACTTTGCTTGTTAAGTTTCATAGTTTATTATTATTAATTTTTGTTTGCCTAATGAAGATTTATTGATTAACGGGAAGATTTTAGAAGGAAAAAACCTTTAAAGTTAGAATTTTTCTATTATGGTTATTAATGTTATTATTATTGTTATTACTTATAATTTGACGAGGATATATTCAAATTTAATTATTACTTTAAATTTAATTAAGAATCTGTCTTTTATTTAATTTACTTTATTAGAATATCTTAATTAGTGTGGAGCTTTAAATATCCATCGCTTTGTTTTCCTGTCGATCTCTATTAATATAAAAAATATTTATTGGGTTACTTTTAGTCTTTAGAATTCGTTTTTTAGATTTAATTTTCTCCTGCTAATGAAAATTCATTATTAGTTTAAAGGGTTGATTTCGGAGTATTTTGCTTTTTTGGTTACTTATTGGGGCTTATTATGTTTGTATAAAAATTTTGAGAACTTGTTAATATTTTTTTATTAATCATTATATTTTTACAATTTTTAAAATTTTTTGTTTTGTTTTTTTTAATTTGTGTATTTTTTTTTTTTCTTATTGTAATAATTTTATATTATTTAAATTACTCTTTTTTATATATAAAAATATAGTTTATCTTAATTTATCTATTTAATTGTTTTAATATATAAGTTTTTTAATAGAGTGATTGCTTTATATTCGTTATATTTATTACTTAAATAAAGAATATATTTAATTCTTTTATAATTTAAATAAAGTATATATTATATTAGAATATAAAATATTTAAATGTACAAAATAAATGTTATATTTATTTAAAAATATATAATTTTATATTAATTATTTTTTATTTAAAAAAATATTTTTTACTATTAATAAATATTATTCTTTTTTATTACATAAAAAAATGGTTATATTTTTTCATAAATATGCTGTTTTTCTCTATATTAATATAAATTTATTACTTAAAAATATATATAAATTTATAATTTTACATTAGTTTCAGTTTCTCTTGGATTGTTAAAAAAATTCGTTTTTATTTAATTATTACCTATATCTCTATAAGATAATCCAAAAATGTCATATTATTAAATACAATTTAATTTATTCAACTCTTAGCAATCTTCTTAAAAAGTTTTGTTTTTAAAGGCAATAATTATTTAGAATGCGCAAAAGACATATCCAAAATTATCAAAAAGCTAAATAATGTATTATCCTTGATCCTTGAACTAAGGATTTAAAGCAAATATAAGATTATTATCAACAAATTTAAAATCAAGCCATAATTTTTTACTATCTTTATTTTCTAGATGTAAATTATAATAGTCAAAAGCAAAAAATTCAAGAAAATAATCAAGATATTTATTATTTATGTTTTTTTTTTATAAAAGTTTTATATTAAATTAATTCATATTTAAATGTATTGTTTCTCCAAGCATTTTTTACCAATTATCAGACTTATAATTCCAATCAAATCCATAATAATCTGCTTTTATTGCATTTTGTATAATTATACTATTAAATTTACTTTACCCTTTATTTTTTTTTTAAATATTTTCTATATTATTATTCAAAACCTCGGAATTTATTTTCTTTTATTAATAAAAGCATTAAAATTAATATTTATCATAAATCGTATTTGTCTTAGAGGTTTTTTATGTTTATTCATCATCATTTTATAAATAAAATAAATACCAATCACATTTATGTTATTATTAATTTATAGCATTTTTTTTTAATAATTAATATATTTTTTCAGAATTTTTTTCATTTTTTAATTGAACTTTTACAAATAAACACCATAGAGCTATTTGTATCCTTGTTTATTATAAATTAAAATCTAAAAAATATGAAGAATTTTTCATCTTTTCATAGTTTTATTCATATATTCTTTTAGCATTGTCAAATAACTTTTATTCATTTATTAATCCACTTTCAAAACTATAATTTTGTAAAAAAGCTTTATGGTTTTTTTCCGAAGAAAATTCTTTGATCATTAAATTAATTAATTGTTTTGCAAATTATAAACATAAGGGTGCTAAAACAATTATTTTTTGTTATTTTTCTTGAACGTAAATTTGAGAATATGTGTATTATTTTTTATGAATTATTTAATGTATTCTTTTTCTAAAGACAATTAATAATAAAATAAGTATAATTGGAATCAATAAAATCATTACAAAATAATAAATTAATTCTTTTGAAATATTTTCAAATTAAATATAAAAAACATCTTCTACTTAATCAAATCCATCCGAGCATATAATTTTTATTTTATATACTTTTTTATATTCCATTATTTCATTTTAAATACCTAAAAATTATAAATTCTAATTATTGCTACTAAATTATATCCAAAACACTTTTTCTATAGATTTCCATTAATTTTCTATATATATAAATGCCTTTTTTTTTTAAAAAAAAAAATATTTAAATAAAATTATATTCATTACTTTATAATTTTTTTCTAAATTTTCATCAGTAATGAATGTTTAATTAGAAATTTAAAATTAAAATTTTTAATTAATTGTGAGATTATTATATTATTAATAATTGAATTATTTTTATAAATTTTAATTAAGTTTCATTTTTTACTTAATTTTTATAAAATTCAATTAATTAACAAACTTTAAAATTTCATAGTCGAAGTCTATATTATCTTTGACTAAAATTAAAATTTAAATAAAATCTTAAAAATAATCCTTATTTTATATTCCATAATTTATATAATTTTTCATAAAATAATTATTTATAATATCTTTCTATCCTTCAATATTAATAATTTAACACTAGTTTTCACAATTAATTTATAAATTATCATAATAAGGCAATATGAATTAAATGCCCCCATCATTTATTTAAAAACTTTATCCCTATTTTTCATCTAAATAGTAAAACTTCATCTAAAATTAAATATTTTTAGATAAACTTTAAATAAACTATTTTTCTTCTCCATCTAATTTATAATATTCAAAATTAAGTTTAATTGATCTTTCTATTATGAAATTTATTGGCTTTAAAAATACATTTTCAAAATAAATTATTTTAAATAAATAATATAGTTTAATCATATAAAGGAATTCTTTATCTAATAAATTTCAAATATTAACCTAATGTTAACATTTATATATTTTTATTAAAATATCCATATTTATCAATAACTCCTTAAGATTATAAAGCATTAAATATTTCTTATGCCAAATTATAATTAATCTAAAGTTCCTTCTCATTCACAAATTACTCTGGTTAAATCTATATTAAGTAAGATAATACTAATGTAAGTATTTAGTTATAAAAAGTTTCCTTTGGAGGAATAAAAGTAACCATTTTTTATTCGTTAAACTATATCCATTTAGTGTTTCGTTACAAAATAAAGTTATTATAATAATAAACTTGTTCGATTTTAATATTTCTTTAAAAATATAAAGGGCTTATAGTTAGTTTTATATAATCTCCAACTTTGATAAAATCAAAAAATTATTTATCATTTTTTTTATCATTTTTTTTATCATTTTGTTCTATCAATATTTATTCGATTGCTATAGATTTTTTTTATTCTGATTTTTTTTAGATTAAAACATACAGTTAAATATCATTTTATATTTAACATATCCTAAATCCATTTTCTTTTGTAAAAACCAAAAATTTACCATCATTTGACATTCCAGATGAAAAGGATTTTTCATTTCCAAATTCCAAATCACTAATTTTCTAAGTTTTTAGATTGTACTAATCTTGGCTTATAAAAATTATTGATATTTGTCCTTTTTCCATTTAACTTACAATTAAATAATTTGGATTTGCTGAAGGCTGATAAGTTTTTACTGCCCAACCTTAAACATTTACAATTTCCAAAAATTAAGGATTTTCTTAATTTCTGCAATCAATTATTTTTATTCCTCCACTTCCATTTGAAACATAAGCATATCCTGAATTCCTAATATCATATTCAATATATTCACTTCCTGTCATTCTCCAGAAATCAATAAAAAAGAGTTATTTCCCTTCATCTAATATTTTAAAGTATCCGATTCCCAATTCTTTTACTCCATAAAATCCATAAGTAAATTCCCTATTAAAGGCAATAGTACTAATATATTTATTTTCTTGTATTTCAGGCATAATGCTATTTGATATAATTTCGAGAGAAAACCTATTATTATTTCCAAAATAGCCAACTTTTAAAATAATAATACTCTAATAATTACATAAAGCAACTTTATCTTATTCAAAGCTTACCTACAAATCATTATAGAGTTATTATTTTTGAGATTAATCAATAAATTCTGCCAAAAAAATAGGATTGGAGAAATTTTTTACATTATAAAATGCTATTGCATTCCTTTATTCTGAAACTAATAGTATATCAAATTTATCTAAATAAAGCAAGCTTTAATGCATTATTTATTAAGCTGGTCTATTTATTGCCAAAACCTATCTCGGTTGTAAAGGAATTTATACATCGTAAATAAAAAAACCTAAATATCCACCTGTAATTGCTATATATTTATTATCTTTGCTTATTATAATCGAGTATATCGATTTTTAGTTTTAGAAATCATTATTTGAAATACACCTTTCTTTATTAAAAATATTAAAATTGTAATTTTCATCTTAAAAAGATAAATCAATAAGCTCGTAAACTTTAAATTTATTGCCATCGGCTAATATTATTTTTTCAGATTTATTTCTAAATAAATTAATATGTGATGAATATTCTTCAGAATTTATTCTCTAAGTGAATACAGGTATTTTATCTTTTTTTGTAACATCATAGATGAGAATTCCTTAACTTCTAATAGTTAAAAAAAGTATTTTATTATCTTAACTAAATACCATATGATTTATTTATCTTTTAAATTCTAGTGTAAATTTAACGAAAGTATTTTCATTCATACTTTAGAAAGCTTTTAAATCTTTTAGTAATAATTCTATGTCACTTATTTATATTCCTTCATACATAATATAATTGTAAAGCAACAAATGATCAGATTTTATACGTGCTCTTAGAGATTTTCTACCTATGAAGGGAAGTTCTTAAATAAATTTTATTTACTCATTTGAAACAATTCTGAATAAATTAATTGAACCTGCTTGATTTGAAAGGAAAATAAAATTACTGTAAATAAGTATATTTAATGATATAGTGTTTTTAATCTCACCTTCAATAGTAATAAATTTTAAGTTAAGCTTTTCTTTACAATCTATTATTCCTATTCTGCCCTTACTAGCAAAATAAATTATTTTCTCATCTTAATCTACAAATATTTGATCAAATTATATTTATTAATGCTTCCATTAATTAACTTTTATTATTTTCTCGCTTTGTCTTTCAAAACGATATATTAAAATGCCTTAAGTAGGAGAATTTACATACATAAAATTACTCCTTAATACAAATTGGATTAAGTCTATATTTATTCTATCTACTATTTTAAACTCTGATCTTGAATCTAGAATCAAAAATCCTTAATCTTAATATACTAAAAAAAGATAATAATCATATTTAGGATCTGAATAAATTTTTGAAAGAACATTGCCGTATTCTTATGTATTTATTTCAATTTTAGGAATCTAATTATATAATAATACTTAAAAAGATAATTATATAAATATTGCTATTATTATTAAATTCATTTTAATTTAAAGATAATTTTATATATTGAATAAAATAATAATATACTATATAATACACATTTTATAAAAAAAAAATCAAACAGTAAAAAAGAAATATAAATATAAAAATATATATTTTTCAATCATTAGCATTATGAGTTCCTAATTTAACAATAATATTTTTTGAATGCCCGAGTACTATTATATTATTAGATTCATCTAGCATTCTAAGAGCAGTAATAATGTCTTTTTCTTCAATTAAACCAACATCATTTGATCCTTCTTTATTAGCAATTAATTATTTTAATTAATTCATATTTATTCCTTTTACAAATTCAGCTTAATTAGAAACTAATAAACTTTTAATAACATCACAAACTTTTTCATACTTCGCTTTTTATTAAGCAGTAATACCTGTATTTAACATATCGATATCTATAAGGCCAGTAGTAGGATCAGTTGCAGCGCTTTAGGTGGAAACTTTAATTAATCTAATTGCTTCGTTTACATCTTCTTCTTCGACAATATCAGAAAGTTTCATTTTAGCTAGAGCTTCAGATATTCTTATTAAAGATTCTAATTATCTAGTAGTAGAAGTAATAACTTTAGTATTCATACCAAGTTTTCTCATATTTACATATCCTTCAATAAGTTTATCGCAAGCTTTTTCACTTAATTTAGGATGAATTTCTTATCTAGCAAAATTTATGTATTGAAGAAGGGTTTTTTAGTCCATTAATTAAATTTAGTTTTCATCATTATTATTATTATTTAATTGTTAAGTATTTCTTTAATTATTTTTTTCAAAAGATGGATCATCAGTGAATAAATTCAAAATATGAGCAGCTAAATTGGTATCTTTTACTAAATCTTGATTGTCTAAAAGAATATAAATTAAATCAAATCTAGACATCAAACTTGGAGGTAAATTAATATTCTAAATAACTGACTATTTAGGATCATATTTTGATTCTATAGGATTTGCACCTGCTAATATAGATGTTCTTGCATTTAATGAAGCTACAATACCTGCTTTAGCTATTGAAATCGTTTATTATTCCATTGCTTCATGTAATATAGTCCTTGTATTCTCGTCCATTTTATCGAATTCATCGATACAACAAATACCTAAGTCACTTAGTACTAAGGCCCCACTTTCTAATACTAACTCTTTTGTTTCAGGATCTTTTGATACATATGCTGTTAAACCCACTGCTGATGATCCTTTTCCAGAAGTATAAATACCTCTAGGTGCTAAATTATGGACATATTTTAGCATTTGGGATTTCGCTACGGAAGGATCTCCTACTAATAGGACGTTTATTTCAGAACGGACTCTTCTTTTTATACCTTCTTCTTTATTTTTGAATGCTCCTCCGAATAGTTAACATAATAAACCTTTCTTTACATCTGTGTTTTCCCATATTTTCGGTGCAAAAGATTTAGTGAGGATTTCGTATATATTTTAATTTGCTAAAGAGAAAAACTTTTATCTAATTTATTCAGGATAATATACATATTCATCTTATGCATTCGATTATCTCAACTAAGAATAAGAAACTACATCAATATAAGTATTATAAACTTGCTTTAAACTTCTTTTTTGTCGACTTGTTCTTACTCCAACAGCTCTATATACACCTACGACTTCTACTTTATCACCAGGTCTTATTTTATCAACTAATTATTCATCGTAAGCCATTAAAGTAAGTGTCTATTTATTTTTATTAAAATTATTTTAGATTAAAATATATTTATATGTTTACATGAGGAGTTTCTCCTTCAGGAACATTTTCGGGCATTTCTTAAATTTTTACATATTATTTATCAGTAAAATGACATAAATTATGTTAGATTTAAAAGGAGTTTTTCATTCTACAATTTGAGCAATCATTTGGTTCTTCTACATGGGCTCTTTCTAAAGTTACATGTACTAAATTTTAGCAGTTAGTACATTTAAAAACAGCTAATTTCATTTCAGGGTAGATTTCTGAAACTCTGATAATGATACATTTAATAGATATCAATCTGGAAATGTCTTTAGGACTTAATTCTCTTAAATTTGAGCTATATTTGAGATTTACGATTGCAACTAGAATTTTATTAACATTTAATAAAGCATCTTCTGATCTTGATTAATGTGCAAATTCTTCAAATAAATTTTGTGCTACTTTATCGAATATTTAGATTATTTCAGCAGGGAAACATATTAATTGATGATAAAGTAACTTGTCATAAGAGTATAAGTCATTTCCATCAATTTTTAAAGTAAAATTGGACTCTTCTATTAATAATTATTTTAATTCTTCAACATATTTTTAAGATCTTTCTTCATCTACCATTGCTTCGGCATTTTATTCGTGAATCTCTAATAAAAAACGGCGAAATTTTTGCATTATTTCGTGGGTGTTTATATTTGTACCCCAACTTATTTGGACTCCTTCTGCTTGTGAGTTAGTTTCGTGGTTAGGACTTTACATAAATGACGAAGGTTGGGTTATATTTCTCTATGAATTATTCCCTGTAGCATTTACTGCAGTATAAGGACGACGAGAAAATGTAGATTTTGGAGTTTATTAGCCGTGTTCTTATGTATTCATTTTTTTTAATTTCTTTGGTTTTTTTTAATTTTTTGTATATTTATTATTTAAGTTTTTTTTTACTTTTCATAATTTTTTTATTATTTTTATTTTATACGTGGCGCGTAAAAATGATATAAGTATAAAAAAAGCGCAAAATCATAAATAAATAAAAAAATATATTAATTAAATTATTTTATTATTAAATAAATAGCATTTTTAATTATTAAAATTAATATTATTTTAAATTATTTTATTAATTTTAAAATTACATATATAAATTATATATATAAATTAATAAAACAAATTTAATGTCTATAGAAAGAAATTTATTTAATGAAATTATTTATCAAAAAATCGCATTATTAAAATTCTAATTAAATCCTCCAAAACCACCACCATTTCCGTTATTATCCTCATCGTCTTTTTTATTGAAATTATTATTTTTAGTGAAAATATTATGGACTTATAAAGTATTTAAAGCACTAAAAGCTTTATTCCCAGCTTCAATTTCTTTCATGAACTCTTTTTCATCATTTTCAACTAGCATAAGTAGCCTTTCTTTTAGTTTAAATTCAGCAAAATTTTCTTAAAAACTTTTTACATGTTAGACATTTTAATAAAATAATAAATAAGGAGTTATTGAATTATTTTCATATTCATTTAGTATTTTATTTATATTTTCTTTTTCTTCTGAAATGCAAGCATCATCAAATTTTATCCACTAATTATCTTTTTCTAAAGCATAAGAATAATAATGTCCAGCATCAGTCGAAATACCCTTTTTTTTAATAAATAAATATATGGAGAAAAATATTACTCTATGTATAATAAATGCATATAATTAATATTATTTTCCATCTTAATTTATATCTATTAATAAAGGAATTTAAACTTTATTAAGAAGTTTTTATTTCTTTTAAATTTTTGCATTATATTTAAATCTATTCAAAGAAATAATAATATAATTTGGTAATTCTAAAAATTCTGTTTTTTTCAAGGCATCTTTTTTTTATTAACAGTTATTACAAAAATATTAATTATCATCACAAAGATTTTCTGGTTGAAAGTTTTCTTAAAATAGCTATTATAGAGAATAATTTTGTTCTTATTCATTTAAAAAATTAAGAGATATGTCTAAAAATTTTTCTTCACTTTTAAAAATATTTTAACATTAATTGCATATTATATAATGCTAATATTTTCCAATAAAAAAATCATGCAATAAATTCTTTATAAAATATAATTTATCAATAAATATAAAAAAAATATATTTACTTTGTCTTGGGTATCTTTTATAGAAACTTCAAGTTAATCTAAAAAAATTCTTCCAAACTCAGAAGCATCATGTTATGCAAAAGAAAATCTAAAATAATCTGGTAAAATATCTTTAAAAAATTTAGGATTAACATATTCTCTTTTACTTTTAAGCATAAGAACAAATAATTTTTACAATTAAAAAATGCAGGCGTATTTTTCTCTAAATTAAAGAGAATTGTTATTATTTAAAGTCATAATTTCATTTAAATTTATATTTAAAATTCTATATCTCATTTCTTTACTCATAAATAGGGCTTAAATAAAACTATTCATATAACATGCTTTTTAAATAAATATTAAATTAAAATAATATAAATGAATATTTTAAATAAATAATAAATATAAATATATATATAATTTTTTTTATATATTTATATATATAAATATTTATAAATAAAATTATATTATACATACTGTTTCCTAGATTTCCTAATCCTCTATAATTATTACTAGAAGTTTTAACTTTAAATGATTGATTTTATGAATATCCATTATAGAAATTTGCCTTAAACTTTAACCAATCAAATTCATCAATTTTTTTTCTAAATCTTCATCTTTAAAATTTTATTAAAGTTTTTATGATTATTCATTTAAATATTTTTAAAAATCATCAATATAATTTCCACTTTTTTCATATTTTTTACATAACATTTTTCCAATAAAAAGTGCTTCATATTTTCCTTTTATTAATCCTCGTTAATCTTCCAAAACATCTTTTATTTTCTAACTGCAGTTTTTAAAAATTATACTTTAATTTGGACAGCCCAAAATGGTTTTTTTAATAATTTTTGAAGATCCTTAAAAAGTACTTTCAGCTTTTAATAAGACAAAAATTTTCAAAATTCTACAGTTTATAAGGGCATTGAGATCATTAAATTATTTATTTTTAATCAGAAAATAAATTAATCCCAAAAAGCAATTAGAAATACTAAAACTGAGGATAAATTAAATTAATTTTCTTGCTATTTCTAGAATTTCATCCTATTTTAATGTATTTTTTTGCATATAATTATCCCATAAAACTGCAAAATAATTCTCATTTAAATTTAACAGAGAAAAAAAGTGTTTAATTCCATAAAGTTAATGTTTAATTTAATTTTTTTTAAGTTCCTATATACAAATATTGAATGGAATTTGAAAATCATTAGCCAAAATTTGAAATAATTCTTCAATAATTTCTTTTATTAATTCTTATTCAAAATCTTTTTAAAGCTAAAAACCAATAAGTAAGTACTTCACGGAAATCAATATTTAATAAAAATAATTGTTTGTATTATTTATATATTTAAAATTATATATTCACTCGCCATTTTATGTTTGATATTTCTTCATCTTCATTAATTTAAAAATGCTAAAGGATTTTATTTTGGTGATTTTTTTGAATGTGTTTAGCTAATTATTGCTTTAAATAATATATTAGTTAATTTGTTGTAGTTTTTATTCTTAAAAAATAATCAATTACTAATAATATTACTTCTATTTCTTTCCTATTATGAACTTATATTTAATTGAATGTGCTTTCAGGGGTTACATATATGTTGTTTGTTATCATTTTCATTATTACAATTTCTAATATTTATAATTCTTTAGTATCTAATGGATCAGGTTGTCTAATTAATTAAAAAAATGCTGACTATAAAAACTCTTCACGATTTTATTGATTTACATTAATGAATTAAGTTATTATCTCTTTTATTTTTTCTATTGGGTAATTTGAATATAAGATTTTCACAAATTTATTACATTTTTTATATTTTTTTGTTTTATTTTTAAATAATATTAAAATAAATTATTTTTGTATATTATTTTATATTTTGATAATATTTTATATAAATTAATATTTTTATTTTTTTCATTTTTATAATTTCAAATGCTTTCTTTTTGCTAAGTCAGATTATATTTATGGATTATCAGAATGATAATTTTAATGGAAATTTCCATATATATTTCTGTTTGAACTTTTATACATTTATTTTAAATTAGTTCCATCACCAAATTTTATGTTGCTTTCATTTCTTTTAGGCATTTTATATTAATTTTATTTTAAAATATTTCTTTAAGCATTAGGTTCATAAGGTACTAAAGGTTTTTATTTACTAGAAGTACATGTTTAAGGTCTTACTTAAAAATCTACAGCTGTTAAACTTTATTTTATTATTTAAGGCTCTTTTTCTCTATTTGGGGCTTTATAAAAAGGCAAAGCAATTAAATTATCACCGATTTTTTTGATATATGAACATGTAGAAACCCTTTTTTATATAAAATTATTATAATTATATATATATATATATATATATATATATATATATATATGCATTTTAAATATAAAAAATAAATAACCTTGTTGTTTTAAAATAATCAAATGATTTTTTTTGTTTCTAGGCTCCTTAATAATGCCATTTAATTTTTTCCTCATCTAATTTTTTTTTTTCATCAAGTTTTTTTTTTCTTTAAGATTCAGTTCGAATAGTATGTTCAGGCCAAAGTCTAGATTAAGATTTAGGCTTTTTATATTAATCTTTTTAACTTTCTTATTCTTCTTTTTATTAAGATGAAATTGTTAATAAAGATTTCATTTATTATGAATTGTTTTTAGTTTATATATTTTATTGTTCATCTTGTTTTTGACTTTATTCTTATTCTTTTAGTTTTGTTGAATTTTTTGTTAGTTTAGATGATGGTTCATCTATTTTTTGTTATAATGAGTCCTTTTTTGATTAATTTGGGTTTTCGTTTTCATTACTTTTTGTTAAAGTTTTATTTGAAAGCTTTTTTTATGAGTCTTTAGTATTAATAGATTATTTTTATTAACTTATCTTTTGTAATAATACTGTATTATCTGTATATTTTTTTGATAAACCTTAGAATTATTAAGATAGTTTAGTTGATGAATCAGCCATTATTTATTTTTATTTTTTTTTTTTTTAATTTAAATTTTTTAATTTTTTGAAGAAAAATAATAATTTTTTTTTTTTTTTTTTTCAAAACATTAATAAATAATCTTCAAAAAACTAAAATCCTAAAATTTAAACTAAAGAATCAAAAATTCTAATTGATTATTTTTCGAATTATGATAGATTTTCAAAATAAATATTTTAACTAAATAAATCGTTTTTCTTATGGTTTCCATAATTTAATATTTTTTCAACTTTTTCTACTATTTTTTATTAACTTTGAGGAAAACAAAAAGCTTCTTCTTGTACTTTACGATTTTATTCTTTTTGTTTTGATATAAAAATAAAAATAAAAGATTAAGAAATACACTGATCTTCTAAAATAAATGCTTTAATAATATCAGCATCAATAAGACTTAAAACTTCAAAACTTTTAGAAAAAAAATTCCAAGAACTTAATTATTAATCATTTTCATTTATTTTATCAACAACATAATAAATATTATCAGAATCTAAATCATCGAAAACATTATTTTTCTTTTTTTCTTTATAAACAGATTTAGTAATTTCTAAAATTTCAAGTAAATTAACCTTTTATTTTTTTTCTTAAAAAATATATATTTTAGAAAATAAATAACCTTATTATTTTTATCAATAATCTTAAGTATAAACGAAGAATACATTTTTATTAATTAAAAATATTTTTTGTCTAATATTTGTCTATCAAAAGGATATTTATTTAATAAATTCCAACAAAAATCGCATTCTTTTATTAAATTCAAGTTTTTATTTTCGTTATAAAAAGCAATTTTACATTTCAAAATTTACAATTCAATTAAAAACTCAAAATTATTAAATTGAAATTATTTATAGTAATTAAATGCAATACTTTAAAATTTCAAACAATCTTAAAATTTGCACATTTCAAAATACAATTCAGCTAAGTTATAAGCACAAAAAGCTCTATTTTCTTAAAATTTTTCATTTAGATCTCCTATACTACTATAAGAGAAAAAAGCTTTCGAATAAAAATCTATTGACTTTTCTTAAAAGCCAAACTTTTTTAAAAAACCGGCAAAAACTTTATATTTTTCAGCTGTTTTAGGATGATTATATCCAAATGCTTTTACAAATCCATCTATAATATGTTTAAAAAGTCCCAAAAAATCATTTTGAGAATCCAAAAAATCATCTTATTTGATTTTTTCCATTAAAAAAATGAAAGAAATTTCAAAATGTAAAGGATTATCTTCATCGAAAAAATTTTTAAGAAATTTCATTAAAATAGAACTATGGAAATTAGCGATTTTTTTCTGTTCTAAATTTGCGTCTTTTGTTCCCCCAATTTTGATTAAATTTATAATACTTTTTATCAATAAAATACTTGGAATTATTTAATCTTTTTCAGTATTTATTTAGATACTTTTTGTTGCTAATTTCTCACTTTCTAAATATTGCTCTTTTTCAAAATAAAGTGCACTCAAAGTGCTTTAAATTTGCATATTTTAAAATATGTTTTATCCATATATAGCATTATTTACTTATAAAAACTAACTTAAAACTCTCATATGTTGATCTATATGGTCTTTTTAAGTTTAATTAAGTGAATAGAGAGAATTTATTTATAAACAATCGACTTAATCAATACAATAAGTATTCACTTTAGGTAAAAACTCACCAAAATTTAAAAGAGAGAGTTTGTTTTTGCCTTGTAAAATATCAAAAGTGTAAAAAATCTTGATATTTAAATGATAAATTAAGGCATTTAAAAATGCTCCTTTTTTAATTTCTTTTTTTTTTTTTTCTGAGAATGAAAAATTAAAATCTTAAAAAACTTAATCTTAAATTTATTTCCATACATCTTCATTATTTTCAAAAATTATTAAATTTAAATATTCAATAATAATTTCTTTTTCTTGTAAATATTCCTAAATAAGTTTTTCGTGTATAATTTTTTTTGCACTTCTACTTATCATTTCTATTAAACAAATTTAATATATAAATGGAATTTATGTTTTTTCGGTTAATAAACCTAAAAAATATATGTTTATGCCTTTCTTGTGCATTAATTAGCTAAAAATAAAGCTATCTGCAATTAAATTATACTCAAAAGATTCGATTTCTTATAAAAAATCATTAACAAAATGTAACATTAAATACCATTATTAAAATATTTATTTTAAATCTTCTTTGTTTTCCTCATTTTCTTCATCATCTAAGGCATCTGGATTTAATTATAAATATTGGTTTTTTGTATTTTAGTATAAAAATTCTGGTCTTATTCTTAAGTTTTTTTCTGAGTGTTTTTTAATGTTATTAGAACCTGTATATAGTACGGGTAAAATATCAAGAGTGTTTTTGACAAAAAAAAGGTTTTAAAAATATTCCTCATCATTATTTTCTTCTAAATTATTAGAACTATTTAGATTAAAAACTCTTAATTAAACTTCACCAAAATTTTTTGAGCTTTTGAAAACTTATAAGGGAAAAGTTAAAAAAATATTTTATTTTATTTCTAAAAATGAAACTTTATGTTCTTTTATTTTTAACTCTTTTCCTAATATTTTTAAATTTTCTTTTATTCCATCATATTTTAAATATTCTTCGAAAATACCTTCTTCGTTTATTTTAGCTCCTTCTATAACTTATTCAAAAAATTCCTAAAAAACATTCACTTTGCAAATTACTAAAACACTAAAGCCTTTGTATTAGAAATATCCAGATAAGGGACTTTTAATATTAAAAGTGGAGTTTTTTTCCCTTTGTTTCATGAAAATATTATTTATTTAATTTAAAACTTTAAATTCATAAGAAAGGTTTTTTTAAGAAAAATTATTCAAAAATTTACTATTTCTTTCCACAAAACTAAATTTTAGATAAAAAAATACATTTTTTATTTCTTTTTTTTATAAAATTTGTTCTCTTTATTCCTTATCATCTATTATTTATGTAATAGTTTAATGCGCATTTTTCACAAATAGCCCAAGCAATTAAAAGAGTGCAATTTCTTTTATATTTTTGCTTTTTTTGGACCAATTTTCGCCTTAGAAGTTTTATAAAATACACATCGAAAATCTATATTCGAATGCATTTTCATAAAATTTTTTTTGATTTTGAATTTTCGCCTATTCTTCTTATTTTTCTTTTTTTACTTTTTCTTCTATTTATTATTATTCTTTTTTTTTTTTCTCTCTTTCTAGTTCTTCTTTTTTAGTTTCTTCTTCTTATAATTTCTCTTCCTATTCTTTTTTTTTCTTTAATTATTCCTAAAAGCAAATAAATTGTTTTTTTGCTTCATACATTTATTAAAAATCATCTTTTTCTAGTGATTCTTATCCTTCTAATTCTTAAATTTCTTATCCTTTTTCTTTTTCAAAAAAAAGACACTCGTTTCCTTTATTTTGATTTTATATTTCTTCCATTTATTCTGTATTTTACTTTTCTTAAATTTATTGTTACATCATTTCAGATGATATATTATTTTCTAGTAAATTGTTTAAAATAAATATCCCTTTTTCTAATGTATAGATCCACTTTTCTCTTTCTTGCATGTTCTTGCATAAAAATAACCATCTTATTTTTTTATTTTGTTATTCTTTTTTATTTATACTACTAGTATTATTACCCAAAAAGGTATTTTGATAATCTTCTAATTAATATTTTTGATTTTTGCTAAATTCTATTAAATTTTCTTCATCAAATTCTATTGCAAAAGAATTCATTTTGCATATTTACTCTTAATTTTTGTATGTATTTTTTTTTTGTTCATTTAATATTTGGATTATATTTAAAAGTTATACCCCCTATTTCGGATTTGTTTATTTTTAATGTCTGTAATAACAAAATAAATGGCCATTTATTTGTACTAATCTTTTATTAAAAGAAAGATGGCGTTTTGATAATTTGTCTAAAACATCTAATTATCGAATTTCTTCGATGGATTTCATATAGTAGGCTGTATTTCAATTTTTTATTATATATGAAAATTTTTATTTTATATTTTTAATTATTGTTTTTGGTATTTATTAGTTGTTTTTTTTTTATATTAAAAAATTTAATTAATTAATGTTTTTTTTTTTTTTTCTGATATTTTATTTATTGGATATAAATGTAAACATTATTTAAGAAAACATTTTTATTTTATAAGAATTATATAATTAAGTTGTCACATTTATTAAACTAACATTATTAATTTTAATAATATAAAATTTATTCTAATAATAATTATTCAGTTTTATAAAATTCTAAATATTTTAATCCTGTAATTACAAATATTGTAAATTAAAAAAATAAAATAATTAAATTAATTATTTTATTAAGAAATTTGCAAATAATTATAAATAAATAAAAATTTGATAAAAAAATTAATAAATTTTATATAAAAATATTTAATATATAAATTAACAGATTAAAAAATGAATTCAGAAAACAACTAAGTGACAATCTTAATACACGAAATAGAAGAATAATCTTAATAAATTAACTAAATAAGCCCAATTAAATCATGTTAACATAAAAAAAATTATTCTCAATATAATTGCTTTTATTGTGGAGCAAATGTATATAACGATAATTATTCATATAATACTAAAAAAATGCAATTTTTGGCTTCATTTAATTTAAAATAAATATATTAAAATATGTGCAAAAAGAGATTAGATTAAATAAATTTTTGTCCATATAATGATTATTTAAATGTAAATTATATTTATTTAATAAAAATATATAAATTTATATTATTTTTTTCGAAAAAAAAGTATAGAAATTAATTAATAGAACTTATCTTTTTATCATCTCATAAATTACATAATTCATTAAATACAACTCATTTAGCTATATATTATTTAGATTATATGATGTAAAACTTTGAAAACAATTAAAAAAGTATTCATTTTTATTAAATATATGCAGCAGCTTCTTTAATGTTAGCAGGTAAATATTTTTTTATTTTTAAAATAAATATTTATAAATTTTTAAATAATAAAGCAAAAGCTATAGAATTAGATGAAAATATACCTTTTATTAGTAAACTAAAAAAATATACTGGATTACATGAACATAATCCAGATTTGTTTAAACTAGCAGAATAAAGTTTAATAAATAAATTAAATTGGAATTTATAATAAATAACTTATTTAGATTTAATTTAATATTATTTTACACAAGGTATAATATTTTAAGATGATTATATTTAAGGCGAAGAGTAAATTTCAAATTCTTTAAAAGAGAAAAATAATTAACAATAAATTGAAGATGTATAATAATAATGCTCGAATAATAATAATTAAAAAATATAAATTAAAAATTTATAACAAAATTAAATTGATAATTTAATTATGTAATTAGAAAAAGATTATTAATCATTAGCTAATATTTTAATTATAGGTTTTATTATTTTATATTCTATATTTATTCTTTTATATATATTAAAGATTATATGTTTTATCAATATGATTTTTAAATTCTGATTGCATCATGTATTGCTTATTTAAGAAAAATTAATGGAATTTTCCCTATATGGAATAATTAGCTGTAAAATATGAATAATTTATAAATATAGGAGGATTAAATAAATTAATATATTTATACTATAGAAAAAACAATATTAAGTAAAAATTTTAAAAATAAATAAACTATATAAGAAGATTATTAATAAAACGAAATAAATGAAAGTATAAATAAATAAATAATTTAAATGAATATAAATTGAATAAAATTATATAATAAATAATTAATTATATATTATTTTTAATAAAAAAAAGTAAATAAAACGAAGTTATACCTTTATATTAGATTTTATAAATTCTATTTTATTATTTAATTTAAAAATAATATTTTTTTTAAATATATATTTTAATTATTATTTGCATGCTTATAAATATGTTTGAAAATTAATTATAATAAACGCAAAATTCATATATATTAAATATTAAATTTCTTTCTTTTTTTTTAATTGTTTTTTTAAGAATTAATTATATCTTTAATTATATCAATTAATTATTTAAATAATAAATTTTATTTTAATAGTCTTAGCATTATATTATATTGAATAAATTTAATATATATAAATATAAAAAAAAAAATTCTATTATTTTTAATTATGTTTTCAATGTAAATAATTGCAAAACAAATATAAAAAATTTGTAATAAATAAGATAAAAATTGTTTCTAAATACTTAAAAATGTTTAATAAATATTGTATGTAATACTTGTACTTTATAAAAAAAACGATTTTCAGTTTATTTTTATATTATATAATATAATTAATTTAATATATTTATATTTATTAAAATAATCTATTAAATTCATATATTTTTCTTTTTTTCTTTTAAAAAATTAAATC